CCTTTAAAACTCAGGAAACATCTTTGTTTTACAGGATATTATAGTAATGTGGAGCCATTTGACAAGCAGAAAGACAGAAAATTACTGATCAGTAATGAAAGCAAATAGCTCTTGTCATCTCTGCCCTTCTTAACATTTACCTGAATTACATATTTTTCTTTGCATTTTTCTGTATGCAGAATTTAGGAAAAAGAATTGTATCTAGCAAGAAAAAATGGATTTCAGATAAACTTTTAAAACAAATCTGAATTGGAAGTGGACATCTTACAGGATGGATTGGTGGATTAGTTGATAAACTAAAGGGAACGTACTGTTTCCCTGATTAACTGGATTTAATTATTGAATGCTGCTTAATAACTGACCACAAAAATAAACGAAAGCTAATGCTTTTACTTCTCTCCATACCTTTACAATACATTTCTTAAGTATATCTGGTCAGTATGTATTGATTCACACTTAAAATACGTATGAATTTGTGTCTAAAAAACCATTGAGATAGCAAAATAGCATTCTTAACATAAATGAACCAGGAGTGTTTGGGCTGCTTCTACAGCCTATATTTGTCCTGGTTGTTTGTGTGTGTTAGGATACAGTCTTTAATTACATATACTGGCTTCTACCATAGGACTTTAACCACGCTCAGTACACAGGCTAGATGGCATACACAGAGTGAGCAGCTACTCGGTACTTTTTTCTGCATTTTTTTAGTGCATGTTCTCAATTTACATGTTGCACATTGTGCAAGTACATTACTGGGGACAGTGTGATTAATTTCTGGACAGAAATGACCCCTATCAGAGGCTGGAGATAGAATAGGAAGAGGAGGGAGGGGCACACTTCGGGGCCCATGGGGCAAAGGAATTCTTCAGCAGGTTTTCCAGGTCCTGTGCTGGGGCTCTCAAGAAAGTAGCCCCCTCTCCCACATCTGGGGACCTGATGAGAATTGTAATAACTATGTACTTCATAGGTACTTACTGAGTTAATTTTTGCAGCAGCAAGGGAGTGACCCAGTGGTGATACTCATTTTCTAATTATGCAGGAGAGAGATTAAGGTCAAAGTGTCCAGTAATATGAGATTCCGTTAGCCTGTTTTCTTTAAGAATACCTAGCATTACAAATCACTTTATTTGATGCACAGCTCTCATTGGCTTCAGTCGCAGTTGTCAGCACTCAGCATTTCAAAAAATGAGGTAACAGTGTTTTATGCTGAGCCTGGAAAATCACTGAGCACAACTCAGAGAAGTTAAATTCAGTTATTTTCCTGCTATCCTCTTGAGTCGTCTGGCAGAGGAAAAGATAAAGTCTAGTTTTGATGAGTGCTGATCCTACTACTGTAACTGTGCTCTTTTCTCTTGCAGTCACTTTCTTTTATGACATGTATGCCCCTCATTGCAGCAAACAAAGCGGGATGTTCAAGAGAGAGCATTGTTCTTCAGTACTTAATCTTTTTCATCTCAGGAGTAGGTCCATCTTGTGTGGCAAATGAAGCAGCAGTCCTGTGCAGAAGTCTGTTGTTATCTGGCACTCAGTCTGTGTCATCACGCTTATATGCCAGGAGGTTACATTATAGTTCCATGTTTTCCAGTTTGACATACATTAATGCTTGACAGCCTTTAGTGCTTTTTAGACATAGATTAGTATTTGTGGTTTCTTGCCATTTTGTAAAAACCAAATGGGGAAAAAAATGTAAATCAGTAGCTCCACCTCTTTGTTACTCCCTTAGTTGACATGGTGAAGTGGACAGCCCAAACGCTCAATCAGTACTAAAGGGGCTAGCCTGAGGGTTTCTGTACTGAGTGCAGGGAGGTGCTGAAAATCAAGAATCCCGGAAGGGAAGATATTCTGGGGACACAGTCTTTTTCCTTCTTTTGTTGATTTGTCCCCTTTTGCTGATTTATCCCTTCTAGCTTGATCCTGACTCAGATTGGTTTCTTCTACCTCTCCGTTTCTTCATGTGTTTTAGCTCAGTTGACTTTGCCTAGCTAGTCTCGATTTGTTCCACTGTTCCTTATCTGATTTTTTTTTTCCCCTCCTCCATCCCTTAGCCAAACTGTTCCCACAATGTCTCCAAGCTGCAGCTCCCATTGCTTTGCATCACTTGTCCTTTTTTGCTCTTCTGTTACAGAGAATGTCCACGATGCTCCATTTCGGCAGTTAATTCTCATTCTGGAAGCTTGTTACACTCTCCAGTACCGTAATGTAAAACTGTTTTCAGCATTAGCAGACTATGTTAATTCTACTGCCTGCCTTTGGGACAAAAGACAGGTGAGTTTGAGACCAAATAATTTATAGTGGTACTAGTAGAATATCTGGTGCTTTCCATCTTACCTTTTTTGATGTTTGTGTTTGATCTTTGGAGAACAGACTTTTTAGGAACACCAATCGATGAAGTTGATACAGCTAAATTTCTAAAATGCTCTTCTATTTATTGATGAATAAAGAAATAAGAAATAAAAGGGGTGTTACGGTTTGAAAAATTTGCTCTCAATAAAAATGCCTTTTATGAAATCAACAAGTAGGATCCACTTTACTGACTTTCTTAACCTTATCAAACTATCTTTTCTTTTAGATTATCCTTTTTCTTTCTGCCTTCGAGACACTTGGCTTTCAGCCTAGAGAGCTGATGGGTATTTTTGCAGAGAAGGTGACAGAAGACCCTGAATTCCTCAACTTGAAAAACCTTTTGATTGTTCTCCGAGTGTATTCACGACTCAACTATGTTCCCAGAGGCCAAAAGCATCTGTAGGTTTTCATTTAGAATGCCTGATAATATGTTATGTAGTCATTATAGAGTAATGTACGGCAACTAGTATTTGATTTCAGTTGTGAAAGAGTTCATAATCCTGTTTTATTAATCTGTAAGGTAAATTTGCCATGTCTTTTCACATTTTTTCTACATAGGAATTTTTCTCTGTAGTTGAAAATGGAGACCTTGCTTCTAGACTGACCAGGCTACTAAATCTGTTGATAGGTAGCTGTATCCTGAAAGAAGAATCAAAAGCTAATGGTAGATTACACAACATATGATTATACAAGATAATAAAGACTTCTAACTTGTATTTTTGTTTGAAATCTGTATTTTATATGGCCTTATTTGTGTATTTAGATACTTTTCTTCTGCTTTTGGAAAAGGTTTTTTGAGACTCTTCATAGCTGCTTGGATAAGTACCTCCCTCAGATTTCCAACACAGAACTGCTGAAGGCAGTGTATTCACTTTGCATCTTAGGATATCTTCCTCATCGTGCACTTGATGAGCTGCTGCAAAAGGACAGCAGGGATGAACTTCTACTGCCAGGTCAGGTCTTTGTCATGTTCTTGTTTTAAAAGGGATAGTCTGCCTCCATACATAATTTGTTGTAATTGTGTTAAAAGTTTAGAAATTAAAGAATGGAAACATGATTAATATTAAATTTGAAGTCCTCAAGACAAGCTAGCATAGTGATGGTGATCTAAGTGATCTGTTTCTGCACTAGGGCATCAGGCTTATTGTCCTGGGCCCCATGGTGGCAACAGTTTAATAGTAGCACATGGAGAGACGTGAATATGAGATTTGTTGGAAATGGTAGAAATGTGTAAGAGCCAGGGGTTCTATCTTCGACAGATGTTCAGGCATTTTTAAAAACACAGGAAGTCTTAACCTTTATAAACCAATTTTAGTACCTGAATCATGAGTAAAAGGGTTTTTTGACTGCTCTGAGTTATAATGAGGGACTTGGAATGGTTTGTAGTAGAATTTTGTTTCCACATTACAATTCTCTACAGCCAGTAGAGTAGTTTAGCGGAGTAGAAGTTCAGTGTAGAGTAAAACACTGTGTCTTGCTGTTGAGCCTGTGACTGAACCTGAAAGCTGTAAACCTGTAACTGCTTAGAGTTTGTGCAGCTTAGTACTCTTAAAGTACAGTTTCAAAATTATGGCCAAGTCTGATATCCCTTCTTTGTTTTATAAATAGCCTTCTAGTTGTCTGGATTTTATAAATGGTTTTTATGCATGCTCTCTCATTCCCTGTTCTCCTTAAGTCTCCTGTAATAACTGATAGCATGCACAGAGCTGTGTACAGTAGAGGGGAAAGACTGGATAAATAGGCAGGTCCCAGCTGTAGACTTTAATATAAATAGTGAATTGATGGTGTATATTTAACAATATCTTGAAGATACTCAATAATATTCAGTGAAAAAACAGTTGGGTTTTGATTCCTATATTGAAATTCATTTGCTTTGCCAGAACAGACTATAAATTATAATAAAATAAAAAATTCTGAGAGATGATACATTGGATGTAATATTTTTTGTATCCTTTTTCAGATGATCTTTACAAAGAACAAAAGGAAATGATGCTTCGCTGTGTGAAAGCATGTATGGAAATTGATAGCCCTTCCTTCACGAAGCCTGCGTTTGCGCTGACTCAGAATTTCTCCTCATTAATATCTCTTAATCTCAGAAGGGCTCGGGAGGCACTGATAGAACTTCTGGGAGATGAGAACATGTTTCGGCAAAATGTTCAGCTGCCATATAAATATCATATTGGTATGAAGCCAAATTACTGTCATATTCTTTTTAATGTAGATTTATAATCCCCAAAATAATACGGTGGTAACAAATTTGTGTAGGGTGCAAGTGATTAGAAGTGTAACACTTTAAAGACACGATCTTTTAACAAATGGTGTCCTTGATTGGTGAATTCACTTCCTAGGATGCTTCTGTTAAAGTATTTAAGTTAATTTACTAAAACTTTATGATTGCTCTTATTTACAGAACTGCTTTGGACTTGTTGTAAAGCATCAGTGAGCAGATGTTAATTGTACATAAATCCAATATGGCCAACTGTTTTAGAGAGTTGACATGTTAGTACTAAATCACATTAGAAACAAGCCAAACAGCAGCCTTCTTTTGTTCTCTGACATGTTTCTTCTCTGAAGCTCTGGCTAAGGTTTGGGTTCTACTTTCATTTATGAAATGGGATATGACCTTCTTTGACAGGTGATCATTTCATAACATTCAGTTTCTTTTGTATTTTGATACTGCTTATTTTTTTGCCAGCCACCCAGCTTACCAATTTTTCTGTATTTGTAATAATTTTCTTCCTAAGTATTTCTAATGAGGAATCAGATTACAGGAAAATCTGGGTAGGTATGAACAGACTGTGATCAAGACTAGTTTCTTTAAACTATGATTTCACTCCCATAAAGTTATATCTAACGTTTCCAAAAACAAACTTTTTTTTTCTGGAGATGTGCAAGCTATAGCTGTTTATATTGGTTGCAGGAAGGGAAAAGCCATAAGTAATATGTAAATTACTAGAGAACAGCAGTTAGAAACAGAGCAGTGATGGTGTCTGTTAACTTTTTCAAATGAGCTGTTCATTTGAAAACAATTTGAACAATTAATGTTCAAATTAGAACATTAATTGTAACCTCTTGCAGTGTAAATGTTTTATTGTTTTGTTTTCAGATTTTGAAATCAGAATGGACTCAGACAGAAAGAAAGTGCTCCCAATATCTGCAACAGATGATCATGTTGACTCAAGTGTTCAAAGGTGTCTTTTTTGACTGCATATTTTTTCTAGCAAGCTAGTTTTATTTGTATGTATTCCATCCAGTTACTTCTTTGGTTCACTGATGTGCAGAAGCAAAGTAGATTACTAACTTGTTATTTGTGCTCACTGAAATACACAAAAATTGCCACTCCAGTTCAGAGCAACAACTCATCCAGCTCACTACCTTTTCTAACAGAGGCTAACACTTAACTTTTCAGAGAAAGACGCATGAAACATCACAGTAATCTTATACTCTTGTAATGGATACAGGTTTTGAAGTATGACTGAAAAATCCCTTCCAAAAAATTGCTACATTATGGTTTTAAAATTCCAAGTATTTGTGTGTCCAATTAAACATTCAGTTCTTAAGTCTCTAAAATGTGCATTTGAATGGTATGTTATGGCAGTTAATTCAGCTGCTGAAATATAATTTGAATAAAAAGGATCATCATATCCACATTTTAGGTGATTAATTTAATCTTGTGTAGAAGAATGACCTCTCAGTAACTGAAGTGAGACATATATCATTTAAGTAACTTAAGTAGAATTGGGTAATACTTAACACTTGTGTGCTGGATCACTGCACAGCAATGTATTCTGTATAGTTTGCTTTTTGGGAAAAGGAGAGCTAGTGAGTTGTGTACAGAAACTCACTGTCAGGCTTCCAAGACATTCGGCTTTCCTCACCCTTCCAGGCAGGTTTTTATGGCAGGAAGTAACTGATTCTGAGTATTAGCAAAGGATCAAAGTAAATGCAGAAGCTGTCAAAATAATACAGAATTTTGAATGATGTATTTCCTTCTCATTGTGGGAGAAGTGGAGATCTAAGGACTTAATTCTGCCATAGGTATTTGGGTAGATGCTGGTACTTGTGTGAAGCTCATGGAAGAAGAGAGGGTCTAAATTACTTAAGTCTGGGTAAGGAAAAGGATAATGAAATTTGTGCAGTCCTGATATTTTTGCCTACCAGAAAGACAGCTATATATTCTGCAGTGGTAAAGGACATCATTGAATCATTGTCTTAGAAATGCTTATTCTGCATTTGTACTCTTCTTGGTTGTAGATTGGCTTTTCTCTTTGTTCCTCTGTCTGCCTTCTGTGTGGGTACAACGCACCCCCAAGGGAAGCTGGCAATGAAGAAGCGGCATCTAAATAAACTGGGCTATCATGTGATTCTGGTAAGAAGAGTCCTGGTATTCTCTCTGTTTCGGTCTTGTTACCAGCACAGGGATGAGTATGTTTGTTTGGTAGAACAGGCCTTGTAGGGAATGGTGAGCCTTCTCCAGAGTGGTAAGTGTATATCACCTCTACTTAGAAGGTAGTGATGCTGTCACTAGGGAGAAAGGACAGAGGAACTCTGAATGACAAGCTACCACTTATCATTATCAGCGAAATAAATGTGATCATAGTTCAGGAAAAAAAAAAAAATCAAGCCACTGAATTGCTTTGTACCTAAAAAACCTATGTGACTTTGGCTTATTTCCCTGATTTTTATAGAATGAATGATTCTATAAGTCAACTTCTTTTCAAAATACAGCGACTCCCTATGGCCTTCCCATCACTGAGCGCTTGGTTTGTGGGACAGGGTAGTTTGCTAAAGACAATAGAACTAATGTACCCTTTCCTTTCCCTTTCTTCCAGGTCCTGAACAAGAAGTTTCAAGAAATGACAAAAGAAGATGCAGTTGAGTTTTTGAAAGGAAAAATTTATTCAGAAAATGCTTTCCCTTTTTCTGAAGTGACTGTGCAGGATAATAATTAAAATAAACAATTTTGGGTCTCCTGATGTCTCTTTTTCCTGTGTAATTAATGTAAGGTTTTAATGGAAGAGATAAGCAGCTTTATACACAACTGCCTACTCCGAAGTATTACAGATTGAGAAAAGTTTGTAAAGTGAACAATGTCTGCTGATAGCGGGAGTTTTCTTTTGTGAAGTGGGAGTGGGTTTTCTTTAGTGGAAGGAACTACTTAATTAATCCAAAAAGCATCCTGACATCTATTGCTGTTGAAATGCCTTAATTTTATCTTCATTTTGCTTCCCCTCTTCCATGCCCCATGTCAAACTTCTCTCTTCTCTTGAGCTGGGTCAGGGAAAGCAAGTGACTATTTCAAGTGCTATTGGAACCTGGCCGACAAATATGCACTAGAAGGGTTCCCCCCAACATCCCACCCCCACCATCACCTGTGTTCTTTATGCAGAACTATAGATGGTAAAGCAGTAAATAACTCAGCGTAAGGGGTATATTAAAAAATTCAAAGTTATGTGAAAAGTTTCTGAAGAAACCAATCTCACCCAGTTTTCAGAAGGCCAATAATGGTTCTTTTAGCTGTATGCTTTTTCTTTTAAACCTTTTGCTTCACTGCTACTGTAATAGATTGTGAGACTTCTTGCTAGAAGAACACAGGACTGGCATGTCTTTATAAACTGACTCTTGCTCTCTGTTTCCGTTATTAGTGTCTCCACAACTATTTAAAGAGGTGTTGCAATACTCAGATTTGTTCATTACATACTGTGATGCATCTCCACTGGCCTGTTACGTAGTGGTGGAATTGATTATGCTGGCAGAGTCCTAGAAGTTCAAAGCAGCTTTGGGCCTTTGAGCTGAAGGAGCAGAGAGAACTGGTACATCTTTTCCGTTCTTGGTAACATTTACTAGTAAAATCCATTTGTTGTGCTGGAGTTGCTGAAGTACTTAGTAAGAGCATTGGAATGCTCAAAATACATACCTTTGCCAACAACAACAGCTTGCTTGTTTCTGCGGTGTAATCAGATCTTCAGTCACAATTTTGCTGTACCATAGCCAACAGCCCAATCGGCATGAAGGGAAACGGCAGTAGTTGCTACAGTGACTGCGTGCTACCTAACGGTGGTGCCCTTGCTTCACTTGATAGGCTACAAGCACTACGTTCTTTGTCTTTCTGAAGTAGCATGGACACATGGTTAAGATATTACAATGATGAGATAAAAAAGGTATGACAGTGATGAGATAAGGTGAAAAGAAATAATGTGCTTAAAAAAAATTCACTGCCCAACTTCTTGAGGAACATGTAGATAGAACATGGTTCACATCTATAAAGGAAACTGCAACCAAAGAAGCACTGTCACAGCAGTCTGGCGTAAAAAGCAGAGAGAGCTGTTCAGCATTTCAGTCTCTGAAATGCAGCACGTGCAGAAAAATAGATTTGATGCAATTGTAAAACTTAACAACCAGAGCAGAATTCATCTGCTTGACTTGATGAGAAGTTTGTTGTGCCCTGTTTTTGGATCTGCTACTTTAAGAAAGCATTGTCTGTACAAATTCATCTGTGAAGCAGACTAGTCAGAGCCATTCTGGTGTTCTGAGCTGGACGACTGACTCATGGTCCCGGCCTGCGCTGGAGGAGGTCTGAAATACTCTGTGCTGGAGAGCTGGGTAGCGCTCAGAGCTGTATTTGAGAAAGCATTTGGTGCTGTTCAAAGCTGAAGCCCTGCAAACCAAGCTAATGCAGTGTCAGCTGTGGCTCTCACCCGGGCTGCTTCCTCTGCTTCAAGCTTTTCAGTCAGAGCCTCAGTAGCAAGTACATAGCTCCCCTCTCTTCAGAGACAAAACACCAGGCAGGGAAGTATACTGTCCTCTTGGGTGCCAGCAGCCTGGACAGAATTAGCCACCTGCAGGCACAAAATGCCACGTTACATTAAATTAGCACGTTACATTAAATGAGCTGATCACCATCTTTTCTTTCTTTTTTTTAAACACCTTACGAGTAGGTGGAAACTTATATAAGCAGTATGAAGTGTAGTAGTCTGCCATAATGATCACCTTGTTTATTAAAATATCTTGCTTTATGCTACCTCAATAACTTGTCGGTACTATGTCACCTACACTGATTCATAGTTCCAAGCAGTATGTAGCTGCTGCCAGAGAGACTTCAGAGCTGTGGGTTTCTTGAATCTTTACATCTGTTAAAAAGCTACTCTGCTGCAATGTCTGAAATAAACCCAGCTTTCTCAGGTGTCCAATTCGTAGTAAGGGAGATCTAATCCCCTGTTTTGTGCATTACAATCTGTATTTAGAATACCATTCTCCTCTCTCTCCTGAATCATGCTTATTAAAATTAGTGGGAGACCCACAATGAAGATCAACAATAATTATTTTGCTCCTGTAATTGTGGGTTTTGTCACTGCATGGATTGCCCTGTGCAAAAGGTGCAAAATCCTCCTTTTTAAGCAAAACAGATAATAAACAGATGTTTTTAGCTGACCTGCCAATGAGGCTAACAAGAGATACAAGCTGCACCTTTCTCTACTATTTTCACAGTCTGCCTGCAGACTCAGGAACCTATGTTTCTAACCTTTATTCACGCTTGGAACACTCTGTAAGTGCAGTGGCTGGAAATTTTTTTCTGAAAAAGGAGTGAGGAACAGGAAGCTGAATATGGCTTTATTTCATACAGCCCATGGTGCATCTTATCAACGGATGGAACCCAGACATTTGCCGTGGTGTTTGACTAACTAAAGGTATTTCAAGGGTGTATCCAATCTGTAGCAAGGCCAAGGTTCTCAACCCCGTATAAAGTGAAAATAGGTAATTTATTAAGTAAACGCAATTGCTAAGGGAGGGAAGGATCTTCAAGGAATTGAAGGCTTATTAAAGAAGATAAAGCAAGTATAAGGCTTAGAGTAATTATGTAGCTATGACTTAAAGACAGTGGACTCAGCTGCACAGAGGAACCATATATTTGACCAGATTCTTGTATGAAGGCAGCATATTTTATTCCTGGGCCACAAAGAAGTCTGAAAAGTAGATCCATACAAATATTTCCTTCATTCTGAGCTATGAAATACTGGACTTAAGTATTTATTCTGCTAATCTCAAAGAAACAGATACTGCCTTTTATGATTCCTGGTTTTTATGTGCTGCTTGCTGTTAGACATTTTTTGATTCATAAATCTTATCTTATTACAGTAAAATGCCATGATAAAGCTGGCTTATCTGGTAAATTTTTCCTTGAGAAAAATGCATATTCGCTCAAAGTTCATCCTTTGAATTCTGCAGGCCACTTGAAGGACATCCACATACAAAAGGGTGACAAGCTCAGATCATTGTCATGTATCACACAATCAATAAGAAAATGTTGTGAGAAGGATTTACAAATGTAAGTTATATAGCAAACTTCACTGGCCCAAGGATGATGTTGCAGGATGTATGAACAGATCCAAAATGAGAGCAAGAAACAGGAAGGCAGAAGATGTGGACCGCAAGGGCCAAGAAGGCTCTTGTGTGAACAGAAAATAAACTAGTACCATTTGAGCAACAATGAAACAAAGTTTGGGAAGTAATGCAGAATGAGAACAGTAAGTGTTTGGAAAAACAAATTGTTTCCATAAGCAGCTGGATTTGCAGACCCCGATGACCTGTAGTTCTCTCCTGCTTGGATTTGCTTATGTCTAAAAACACTTTTGAGCCCTTACTCCAGGCTTTTCAGGGTATGAAATACTCCACCCACTCATTCACAAGAAACATCCAGGAACTCCCTTTAAAACTTCCACCTTGCTCTCAAATTGGCCAAGACTTTCAAAAGTGACTGGGAAAGAGGGACTAAAAGTATATTGCAAGAGTTTGATTTTTGTTAAGAAATCAGAATCTAAGTAAATTGGCGCTTGGAATTAGACAATGAGAGTCTGTTTCTCAGGTACTGCAATTGTTTTTGCACAGGCAAGAGGTTGAATAATGCTTTGTATGCAGAGACCTAGAGATGTGGCCTTGGTCAATTGCTAAAATGAAGAAAATACTAAGACTACCCTCTAATGCTTTTTTCCCCCCCCGGCCATTGCAGCAGGTATTATTTTATATTGCCATTTGTTAATGTTAAGCTATTCTCTCTGCACACAAATCTCACAGCACATAAGCTTGCATGAATGAGGTTCCAGTTTCAATATCTCTTTACTGACACCAGAATATCTGAATTAAAAAAGAATTGCAGGTGTTTTGTAGATGTCAAAAAAGGTGGAGCACTCACTCCTAGGTGAAATATGCTGAAATTAGTTATTTCAGAACAAAAGCAGAGCCATGGTTTTCTGTTGTTCTCTACATGCATACTTTTAAAGCAATTATGGTACTTAAGCATAGGTTTTACTGAACATGTAATCCTGTGGTTTTGTTCTTTGCTAGTAACCATAGTGGTTTTAGTAGTTCTGCATTGTTCTTCTCTTCTAAGTGATGCAAATATAATGGAACTCTGAACTATGTTTAAGACCTCTCCTTCTAGTTGTAGCAGATTTTTCCCTTTTTTCATTATTTCTGGACAACCGCAGTATAAAGTGAAAGTATGAATGTGGTGGCAACTGTAAATAGCCACCCAGGAACAAGAAGAAGGAGAATCTGTCTTTGGGTCTGCAGCAAAAGTCCTTGTGTCCACAGACAACCAGTGAGCTTTTTGTTTCATCCTGTTCCCTCTCTCCAAAAACGCTCCTATGCTATACTCCAGTAACATTGTTGCCATGGCACCCATCAAAACCCAGATATGCTCTTGCTTTATGTAGCAAGATGCAAATTTTTATAAACAGGAGAATTTCTTTTCACTTTTCACTGCCATAGGTAAGGGAGTCTATCCATGCCTCCAGACAGAGACAATTTACTGAAAACTCTTTGTCATTCCTGCGTATGTGCCATAGTTTACTCTTATCAGTTGAATCCACAAAGGGCACTTGCTAAATTTTCTGTATTTGCCTGTTTGATTTTCATGGTACCGTTTCTGCTGCACATAAGACGTCATCTGTAC